GCCTTGGGGCTGTCTTGGGGTCCTCTTGGACCCTCTTCGGTCGATCTTGGGAGCCTCTTAGGCCATCTTGGAGCGTCGGGAAGCCGAAAAAGGAGAAACCCGAACATGTGTCCAAAACCTAAGGAAGATCAATCATTTTTGCCTCTTGGGGTCCTCTTGGGAGTGCTTTTGGAGGTCTTTGGGGGCGTCTAAAGGCCATGATGGGTGTCTTGGAGCGATCTTGTGGCATCGTCGGCCGATCTTTCGAGGACTCCAAGGACCCTTGGACCGTCTGGGCGCTCTCTTGAGGCCGTCTTGGGCGCCTCTTGGGCCGTCTGGGGGGCCTCCGGCATCTCTGACGGGCACTTGCCGGGACTTTGGCCCGGTACTTGTCGCATCGGAGCCTGCAGGGGCCGCTTCGCGCGCGCGAACTTGTTATATTGTTAACTTGTTACCGGAGATCTTAGCACGCCTCTGGCCCGTTGGGCCGGCGAATTACGACGATGGCGATGGTTGAGCATGGCGCTCATGATACGGATGATGTGGCGATTAAGGTGATGATAGTGCCTACGATGATCATGATGCTGGTGCTGATGATGATGCTGTTGTTGGTGACGATGATGATGGTCATGACCATGATCATCACGATGACGATGATCATGATAATAATCATTGATGGTGACGATGCCGATGATGATGATGCTGATGCTGATGCTGATGATGATAATGACGATGATGGTGATGCTTATGACGATGATGATGATGATGGTGGTGGTGGTGATGATGAGGATGATGACGATGCTGATGATGCTGATGATGGTGATGGTGGTGATGATGATGATGCTGACGAAGATGGCGCTGATGATGGTGATGATGCTGATTTTGATGATGATATTATGATGCTGCGGATGCTGCTGATGATGCTGATGATGATTGCGATGAGGATGCTGATCCTGAGTATGATGAAGACGATGCTGTTCATATTGCTGTTGATGATGATAGTGGCGCTGCTGGTTGTGATGGTGATGATGCTCATGATAATCATGATGATGCTGATGATGATGCTGATGCTGATGCTGATGCTGGTGACGATGATGCTGATGATGCTGATAATGCTGATTCTGATGATGTTGATGATACTGATGATGATGATGATGATGATGATGATGATGATGATGATGATGATGATGATGATGATGATGATGATGATGATAATGATGATAATGGTGGTTGTGGGGGTGGTGGTGGTGATGGTGGAGATGAGGAGGAGGAGGAGGACGTGGAAGTGGAGGAGACGGAGGAGCAGGGGGAGGAGGAGCAGGGGGAGGAGGAGCAGGAGCAGGAGGAGGAGGGGGAGGAGAAGGAGGAGGTGGAGGGGGAGGAGGAGGGAGGAGGGAGGCAGACCGCGTCCAAGGACATGTCCGGCGGCTGGCGCATGCGCGTCGCTCTTGCACAGGCAGGCCGCTGGCACCCGCAGGGAGGGGTGATGATGGTGGCTGCTGCTGCCGACGACGACAACGAGGACGACGACGACGATTATGATGATGATGACGATGATGATGGTGGTGATGATGACGAGGATGATGCTGCTGATGATGGTGATGCTGATGACGAGGATAATGCTGATGGCGATGGCGATGATGATGATGCTGCTGATGATGATGATGATGATGATGATGATGATGACGATGGTGTTGATGATCATGATGATGCAAATGCTGATGCTGATGTTGAGGAGGGTGATGCTGAGGAAGATGATGATGCAGTCGATGATGGTGATGCCGATGACGATGATGATCATGATGCTGGTGCTGCTGATGATGCATCTGATGGTAGTTGTACTGTTGATGATGATGCTGATGATGATGACGATGATGGTGATAATGATGAAGACGATGATGCTGCTGATGGTGCTAACGACGACGACGACGACGATGATGATGATGACGATGATGATGATGATGATGATGATGATGATGATGATTATGATGATTATGATTATGATGATTATGATGCTGACGGTAACGGTGACGGTGATGATGTTGTTGTTGATGATGATGATGATGATGATGATGATGATGATGCGGATGATGACGATGATTATGATGATAACGACGATGGTGACGATGATGCTGATGATGCTGATTATGGTGATGATGATGACGAGGACGAACATGAGGATGACGATCAGGATGATGATCAGGATCAGGATTAAGATGACGATGATGATGGTGATGATAATGCTGATGATTCTGTTGCTGCTGCTGATGATGATGTTGATGCTGATTATGGTGCTGACGGCGACGGTGCTGATGATGATGATGAGGATGATGGTGAGGAATTGAAGATAATGCTGATGGTGATGATGCTGCTGAGGATGATGGTGATGCTGGTGATGATGATAATGGTGATGATTACGCTGTTGATGATGCCGACGACGATGACGATGATGCTGGTGATGAGGATTCTCATTATAATAATGGTGAAGATGGTGATGCTGATGATGTGGATGAGCCTGAGGATGTTTGTGATGATGATGATGATGATGATGATGATGATGATGATGCGGATGAGGATGCTGATGACGATGATGATGTTGCTGTTTATTTTGAACATGATGATGCCGATTATGATGATGATGCTGCTGCTGATGATGATGACGGTGATAACGGTGATGATGCTGATTATGATGATGCTGATGACGACGGTGTTGATGATGATGATGATGCTGATGATGCTGATGGCGATGGCGATGATGATGATGATGATACTGATGATGATGATGATGATGATGATGATGATGATGATGATGATGATGATGATGATGATGATGCTGATGATGATGATGATGATGATGATGATGATGATGATGATGATGGCCGTGGTGATCAGGAGGCTTATCATTGTTAGGAGGGGGGAGGAAGAGGAGGAGGAGGAGGAGAATGAGGAGGAGGATGATGATGAGGAGGAGGAGGAGAGTGAGCAGGAGAAGGAGGAGGAGGAGGAGGAGAACGAGGAAGGAGGGGGGTCTCAGAGGATGATGAAGAAGGAGGAGAAGGAATATGATGAGGAGGAGGAGGAGGATAAGGAACAGGAGGAGGAGGGAGAGTGCGAGGAAGCGGAGAACAAGGCAGATTCGAACACTTTGGCAGAGTTAGGGGAGTGTGCAGGTCCGCCAGTGGTGCGTCAGCAGTAGCAGGAGCAGGAGGAACGAGGAAAGGACGAGGTGCCGCTCATGCTTGTGCTCATCGCCTCTTCATCCCCTCCTATCCCTCCCTACTCCTCGAACGCTTCTCACAAGCTCCGAGCCTTCGGGCACTCATGAATCAACGAAGCCGCGTGTTCGCAGGGACATGGAGCGATGGCACAAGCGCGCGTATTCGACTGAGCGCTACCGCTTGCCAGGCCTCCGCCTGAGGGGTGCCCAGGGCTGCCATGTCGCATCCTGCGCAGGGCCCGCGTAGACGACACCAACTTTCGTCACAACAGGGGGAGGGGGTCACAACCCTTCCAGACGAGCAGCTTGAGATCCCCCCCAACAATGAAAGGGCGGTCCTCTACCCAGACCGCACTGGAGTCTTCCAAGACAGCTCAAATCAGACCCCCACAAATCAGACCACCACCCTTGCATTGTGAAGTCCGGAGCACGCACGCTGACCAGATCCGCCCCGGTCTGCACTTGACCACCGTCGGTCCCAGACCCCCGACGCCATGATTTTTTTTTATGACGCGACCCCCAGAGGTCCAGACCCCCAGGAGCCCCAGGGAGGCCCCCAAATGGCCTCCAGAGCGCCCCTCACGAGGCCCACAGGGCCACAGCGACACGAAGAGCTGGGGACACCTTTGGGCCAAGAACACCCCTTACCCAGACCCCCGACGTCATTATTTTCCATTGCGCGACCCCCAAGAAGGTCCGGACCCCTTCCCCGGGGACCGGCTTTTCATCCTGGGTCGTTTTTTTGACGGCCCCGAGGCCCAGTGAGGGCTCCCAGAGGCCGAAAATAGCGAAAAACATCTCCCGTCGTGATGTTTTCATGGCCCGAGGGGGTTGGGGGATCGTCTGCGTTGTCTCCCTCCCGTCTCCTTCTCCGCCATTCCTTCCCTCCATCAGGGGCATCGTTAGAATGGGGACCCTCTCAGGTAGAGGGATGCGCCGACCCCTCCCGAAATCGCTCCGTGGTCGCTGATAGGGGGCCCGACACCCCCACGCCGCCCAGGAACGTGCGGTTTCGCTATCCTGGGCCCATCCCAGACCCCCTCGCGTTGTGAAAAAATCACGACGGGAGGTTGTTGCTGTTCTCGGCCTTTGAGGGCCCTTGCCGGGCCTCGGGGCCGTCAAAAAACGACGCAGGATGAAGAGCCGATCTCGGGGAATGGGTCCGGATGGCTGGCGGTCGGGTCATGAGAAATCATGACGTCGGGGGTCTGGGATCGGCGATGTATCGTCGATTCCATGTCGGTGTTTCCCCTCCTGAGCTGGTTGCCCCCGATCGTCCCCCCTCACCTCCGAGATGCGTCTCTGGCCCCAGTAGGTGCTCCCCCCCCAGGGAGGCCCCCAAATGGCCTCCAGAGCGCCCCTCACGAGGCCCACAGGGCCACATGGGGGGTCCGGCACGGCACGAAGAGCTGGGGACACCTTTGGGGCAGGGACGCCCCCTACTCCAGACCCCCGACATTACGATTTTTCCATGACGCGACCCCCAAGACGGTCCGGACCCCTTCCCCGGGGACCGCCTTTTCATCCTGAGTCGTGTTTTGACGCGGTGGGGGCCCCCAGAGGGCGAGAAAATGTAGAAGAACCTCCCGCCGCGAGTCTTCCACAACGCGAGGGGGGTCTGGGTAGCCACCCCGAGCCTCCGCCCTCCCCCACCTGGCGGGCGCGGAGGCGACACGGCTCGAGGCGGCCTCGACGCCAAGGGGGGGGGCCCGGGGCGCCTTCCCCCCGCGCGCGCGCTCGCGCGCGCCTCCCTCGCTCCTCGCCGGCCTCTTCGGGGCGCGGCGCCGCCCCTCCTGAGGCGCGGATGGCGGAGGCGACTTGCTGCCCCCGCTCCCCCTTCCCCTCGCCCATCTCGTCCGCTGCCCCCTCCCCGCTCTGTCTTAGGGGGACGAAGGATGACGAAACATACAACCGCGGAGGTCCGCGCGGATTTCTCGGATCCGCGCTGGACCCCACTGGCGGCGCCTCCGGCGCCGCCACTGGCGCGCTCCGCGCGCCAGGGAAGGGGGGTCCAGCGCCGATCGGAGGAATCCGCGCGGCCCTCTGAGTTTGTATGTTTGCGTCATGCATCATTTCTCTGTGTCCGGCTTGCTCCCCACGGTCCCTGCCCTTCCGAGGCTCCCCGTGGAGCCCAGTGATCCAGATGCCCGCCCCCGTACCTCTCGCGGCGGCAGCAGCCCATCCCTGCACTGCTCTCGGGGCCAATCCCGTGTCGCGTCGTGTTGATGCCGCCCGTTTTCGCCAGACCGCGCATGCACAGATTGGCTGAATCTGTGCTGCAACGTTTGCCTCAGGAACCCCTTTGGAATCCAAGTTGCGTCGGCCAGCTGGGCTTTGTCGACGCGCTGCGTTTGGAGGGTGCCGGCCCGCTCCTCTCGTCTGCCCGTGCGGCTGCCGCTCGCGCGGTCCTCTCGCCGGCCGCAGGGAGGCACCCGACCGGCGCAAGAGAGCGCGGTCGGCTGCGCGGACGTTCGCGCGTACGGTCAAAACTCATAGTAAGGACCGTCCTTACTATGAGTTTTGACTCCACCCGCGAACGTCCGCGCAGCCGACAGCGCTCTCCTGCGCCGCGTGCGTGCGAACGTCTGCGCAGCCGACCGTTACCCTAAGACACCCGTGCTTCTTTACTAAGGACCCACGGGTGTCCTTAGGGTACCGTTGCGTCCCCGCCTTTGCGGCCCGTCCTTCGCGGCTTTCTTTCATTGGCCAGCTCTTCAGGGTGTTGGCAGCCCGCAGCCCAGAAAGTGCCCAATTCGGCGACAAAGGCCCTTGCGTCCTTGCCGCCCGTCCTTGCTGTAGGTTTCCACTGTAAGCTGCCTGCGTCAGATGGCGCATTGGCGCCCTCGTTTCCACTTGCAGCGTGCCGCGCTGGCGGCCCGCGTGAGCCACCGCGTAATCTTGCTATGCCATCTTGGATAGGGCCCTTTTCTTTTCGTCGCTCACCTGCATCTCGATGATCGTCACAACGCGTGTTGGCCCAGTGTGTGTCTAAGACCTCCGACGTGATGCAAGCAGCATCAAGGCGGTGTGCTTTCGCAGTTTTTGGCTTCTGGGGGCACTCGCCAGGCCCCGGGGCCGTCAGCAAAAGAGCCCGAGAAGGAACACCGACCCCAGGGAAAGGGTCGGAACTTCTGGGGCCGCGTATTGAACTCATTAAGATGTCGTGTGTCTCGGCATCGGTGCTCGCTGCGGACGCGTGCTGTGCCAATGTGTGCTTGCCCCGTTCAGCCCGTGCCCGCGGCACGCGGCCGGTGTCGGCCCTCCCTGCGCCGCTCGCTGTGGGGGAAGCGGGTCCTGAGGGCAACGGGTCCTGAGGTTTTTCTCCGTTTTCGTACGTGGTTGCCGATTGCCCGACGGCCTCGACTGCACGATCGGGGGTTTCGGCGACGCTGTCATGGGGGTAAGTTCGTTCGGCTGGAACTCCTGGGATTGCCCGTCGTCCGTCGTCGTCGTCGTCGTCGTCGTCGTCGTCGTCGTCGTCGTCGTCTTCGTCGTCGCCGTCGTCCGCCGTCGTCGTCCGTCGTCCGTCGTCCGTCGTCCGTCGTCCGTCGTCGTCGTCGTCGTCGTCGTCGTCGTTGTCGTCGTCGTCGTCGTCGTCGTCGTCGTTGTCGTCGTCGCCGTCGTGGTTGAACCTTCAGTCCTAAAGAATGATTATTGTTGATCTCCGGAAACGGTTCCGCGCGCTCTCGCCTCGACGCCGGCTACATTTTCTATGAAAACGAAGCTCCCGCTCGAGCGTTGGCTTGAGCCCAAGTGTGGGTCCTTGGAGGCCAGCAGCTACGATAACAACTGCTCCCGCTCGATACTTCCTCACAATTTACCCCGAAACACCCTGGCCAGAGAGGCTCCCGAATTCAGGAACGGCGCTCTCGCTCGAGACTTCCTCGCAATTCAATTAAGCTGGCGGAGGCCCAGCCACGACGATAAGGGCTCCTGCTCGATACTTCCTCACGATTTACTGCGAGAGTCCCTGGCCAAGAAGGCCCCCGAACTCAGGAACGGCGCTCTCGCTCGAGACTGTCTTGTAATTCAGGCAAGTTGGTGGAGGCCCGGACACGGCGACAAGAGGTCCCTTTCAACATTTTTCCGTAGGTATTCCGAGAGCCCCTGGCCAGAGAGGCTCCCGAACTCAGGGACGGCGCTCTCGCTCGACACTTCTTTGCACTTCAGTCAGTGGCCGACAATGAAGAGATTCCCCCCCCGAAAGGGGGTGCAATCGAAAACGAAGTGAGCGGGTATCGAGGGTTGGAGTATACGGAATGCAAGACATGCGTGCCAGTCAGGTCGTCGTCGTCGTCGTCGTGGTCGTGGTCGTGGTCGTGGTCGTCGTCGTCGTCGTCGTCGTCGTCGTCGTCGTCGTCGTCGTCGTCGTCGTCGTCGACAGCCGCTTTTGTCTCTCTCGTCGTTTTTGGTCGTCGTCCTTGTCGTCCTGCTGTTCCTGACTCCCGTCCACTCCTTTCCCTTCTTTACCTCCCTCCCTCCCCTGCCTCCCCGCCCTCCCTCCCTCTCTCACTCTCTTTCGCCCTTCCTCCCTCCATTCCCCCTGCTTCGATCTCGGCCAGGGGAACACCTTGGGCCAGAGACACATCGGAGTTGAGGGGGGACGATCGGGGGCGACCAGCTCAGGAGGGGGAAACTTCGACATGGAATCGACGATACATCGCCGATCCCAGACTCCCGACGTCACGATTTTTTCATGACGCGACCCCCGGAGGTCTGGACCCCTTCCCCGGGACCGGCTTTTCATCCCGAGCCGTTTCTTGACGGTCCCGAGGCCCGGTGAGGGCCCCCAGAGGCCGAACATAGCGAAACACCTCCCGTCGTGTCTTTTCCCCCAGAGGCCGAAAATTTGCGAGACGCCTTCCGTCGTGACTTCCGTTCGCAACGCGAGGAGGTTTTTGTTCGCCGTGGTTTGTGTTCAGGACTCGACATGGTCTGGGCTCTCCTCCCCTGAGCTTCCACCGTTGCTCAAACATAGCATGCGACATGTTATCGTTATAGTCTTATCTTGAATATATCTGTTCTTATTCTTGCAAGCTAAAGACCTATACACGTAACTTGGAGATCTATTCATGTGTGTTCCTACATGTAATTTAACAACCTTGTTTTAGCGGAGATCTCCGCTCCCCCTGCTCCCTCCGCGTGCTCCCTGCCTCCCCCCCGACCGCCCTCCTCTCGGCGCCGTGCCCGGCCAGGGCCGGCCCTCCACCGTGTCCGCCGGCCTCAGGCGCCCGGGGCCGGCCGGCAACAAGAGCCCGGGCTTGCCTGCAGCGCCGCCTCCTCCTCTCCTCCTCCTCCTCCTCCTCCTCCTCCTCCTCCTCCTCCCTCCTCCTCCCTCCTCCCTCCCTCCCTCTCCCTCCCTCCCTCTCTCCCTCCTCCCTCCTCCCTCCCTCCCTCCCTCCCTCCCCCCTCCCTCCTCCCTCCCTCCCTCCCTCTTCCTCCTCCTCCTCCTCCATCCTCCTCCCCTCTCCTCCTCCTCCTCCTCCTCCTCCTCCCCTCTCCTCCTCCTCCTCCTCCTCTCTCCTCTCCTCCTCCTCCTTCTCCTCCCTCCTCCTCTTCCTCCTCCTCCTCCTCCATCTCCTCTTCCTCCTCCTCCTCCTCCTCCTCCTCCTCCTCCTCCTCCTCCTCCTCCTCCTCCTCCTCCTCCATCCTCCTCCTCCTCTTCTCCTCCTCCTCGGGTCGCCTGCGGCCCCTGGGGAAACCGTGCACCCAGACACCGTCGAGTCATGAAAAAATTGCGACGGGTGGTGTTGCGCTATTTTCGGCCTCTGCGGGCCCTCACCAGGCCTCGGGACCGTCAAAGAACGACACGGGATGAAAAACCGGTCCCGGGGAAGGGGTCCGAACCTCTGCGGTCGCGTCATGAGAAATCATGGCGTCGGGGATCTGGGTTGGGGGGTGGGGAGGGCTGGCGGCGACGATAGGGGCGAATAGCCCAGGGGCGGGCATTGCACGTAGTTATCCCGCCGGCGGGCGGTTCTAATTTGTTCGCGCGAGGCTGCGATCTTGGATCTGGATCTCGGGCAGGGGCCTCTGCCGGAGGCGTGTCCGGGGCCAAGGCTGGGCTCCTGGCCGGCGCCGGGGTCGGGTTCGGTACAGGAGCCGGGGCCAGGGCCGGCGAAGGCGGATCTGGGGCTGGGGTGGTTGGAGCTGGACCATCTGCGCCCCTGGATACATGCACCCTGACGTGCTAACACATAGCCCTCCAGGCCTATAGACCTACCTGGACTGCCCAAAACCCCTACCTGGTTTTTAGCCCTCCTGTCAGGGCATGGCTCCTCCCCTGGGCTACTACTCGCCCCTGTCGTCGCCTTCTCGCGAGGGGGGCACCCAGTTCTCTCCAGCGGGTGCGGCTTTGCACGACCCTGAGATCCTGGCGTTACCGTCCTCCCCCCCCGGGGCGCTCTCGCTCCATGCCCAGACCCCCTCGAGTCATGGAAAATCACGACGGGAGGTTTTTCCTACTTTCGGCCTCTGGGGGCCCTTACCGGCCCTCGGGACCGTCAAAAACGACTCCGGACCCAGAGATCCGACGTCGTGATTTTTTCAGTGCGGGGTCCCCAGAAGTCGCGACGTCGATTCCCCAGGACCGGCTCTTCTTCCCGAGTCGTCTTTTGACGGTCCCGGGGCCTGGCAAGGGCCCCCAGAGGCCGAAAGCAGCGAAGAACCTCCGTCCTGATTTTTTCAATGCGTCGGATCTCTGGGGGCGAGAAACCGGTCCTGGGGAATGGGTCGAGACCTCCCCATGGGGGTCGCGCCAAGACAAGAATCATAACTCGGGCCGAACGAATGGAGGGGATAGGGAAGGGGGAGGGAGGTACGAAATCTGCTGCATGCAGCTGGTTTCGGCCCCGCCGCCGGGCCCATTCCTCGATACATGGGCCCGTCCCGGCGCCAGGAGGCGCCGGGAAAATCAGCTACGTGAGCTGATTCTCAAAACCCCCCTTTGCTATCCCCCCCTTTCGCCCGGCCCGAATGACGTCGGTGGTCTGGGTGTCGGGCCACGGGACCTTCACAGATATCGATCCAGCCCGAAGGCCGACGCGCGGAAGGGCGGGGTCCGGAGCTCTGGTCCTGCAGGGTCTCGTGGCGTCTTGTTCCTTGCTTGCTACCCGGACCCTCTCGCGTCGTGAAAACATCACGACGGGAGGTTTTTCTACATTTTCCACCCCTGGGGTCCCTTACCAGCACTCGGGACCGTCAAAAAACGACTCGGGATGAAAACTGGTCCCGGCGAACGGGTTCGGACCTCTGGGGGGCGCGTCATAAAAAAATCATGACGTCGGGGGCCTGAGTATTCTACATCCTTCAAGAAACACCCCTACCCGTGCCAACCTGTCCGACGCCCCTTGCCCGCCCCCCCACGCGCCCCAAACCCACCCCCTCTCGCTCCCCAACCTCCCCACGCCCCCCGAAGGACAGCGGTTTCCCACCTCCCCACGCGATCCCCCCCCTCCCCACGCTTATTGAGATACCTGGGGACGGTACGTGTATGTTGCTATCATGATTTTGTTCGCTACGTCCGTTGCCGTGCTTTTTCGCTGCTCTTCTGTGGCAGCTGCTGTTCTGCAGCGTCGGATCTCGGGGGCTCCTGGCGTCTTGTTTCCTGGACCTTGGCCCCGCGGGGCCGCGCTCGGGCCCCGGGGGACGGACGATGACGCGCCGATCCAGGACGAGGAGCTCTATGCGCCTGGGGAGGGGTCGAGCCCTCGGGGGGCCGCGGGTCGACGAAGAGCACATCGTCGGTCGTCGGACGATCTGCAGCGTCCCGGCCTCGGGCAGCGGAGCAGGCGACAGACGCGAAAAAATCATGGACAGGCCGTCGGGGGAATCAATATGGTCTTCCCCCCTGGAGCCTCCGGGGTGTTCCGAGCACTCTGTCCTGCTGTTTTTGTCGGTTTCGTGGCCCTCGGGGGGGAGGTCGGGGCCCCTTGGGCAGCTGCCGCTCGACGAGAGCTCCAGGACGGCGGCGCCCGTGCCCCCCGGGGGGTTTTCCGCGGGCCACACGCGATGGCCCGAGAGCTAGGCCGACAGGATGGCAGCGGGCACGGGTCGCGACGGGTAGACGGGGGGGGGGTGGGGATGGAGGGGGGGGGGAGGGGATGGTGGGGAGGGGAGGCCGCCAAAGACGTACGGTCGACCCGCATGGTACGGTGGAGGCCCGTGCCAGGAAATGCCCTGCTTGCCTCCAGGGTGCCCTGGGTTTCTTGGGCTTCGATGGTCTTGCCATGGGGGGCGTGACGCTCCCATGCCAAACATCAGTGGACGTCCTGGGGTCTCAGGGTTGGGTTTCTCGTGGAAGGTTTCTTGTGGTCGGGCCCCTGCTGTGAGGGTGAGCGACTTTCCAAGGTTACCCTTGCATCGTTCCCCTTCGGCTCATCTATGGCCGCTTTCGCTGGCCGCGCCCCTTTTGCAAAGTGCAAAGTGTCGACATGGCCCACCAAGGCCCTTGCATCCTTATCGTGCGTCCTTCTTATACGTGTTGACTGTGGGGTCCTGGGTCCTGGCTGGTCTTCGCCGCTGTCGTCCTCACAGGCCCCCCCCAGGCCCCAGAGCTGTCGAAGAACACGGCTGATGACGAAAAGCCGGCCCCAGAGCAAGCCCGCCTGGGGTCCAGGACTTGGGTCCTCCAGTGGAAGGGAGGAGTGAGGGAGGGAGGGGAGGGACGCGTGGGGAGGGAGGGAGGAGGGAGGAGGGAGGGGGGGGGGAGGGGGGGGGAGGGGGGGAGGTGGGGGAGGAGGGGGAGGACAAGCTATGTGCGCTCGCGTCATATCTGACGTCCTACCCCTCCCTCCCATCCCTTACCATGGCGCTGATTTTCTCTATCCGCGGACGCGTGTCGTAGCGGACCTGTGGCTCCGCGCGCGCGTGCGTAGTGGGTGGTGGTGCGCGTGCGTGCGTGCGTGCGTGTGTGGTGGTTGTGGTTGTGGTGGTGGTGGTGGTGGTGGTGGTGGTGGTGGTGGTGGTGGTGTGTGTGTGCGTGTGTGCGCGTGTGCTGTGGTGTGACGTGGTGTGGCGTCTTGGTGGTTTGGTGGTGGGCCAGGTGCGTGCGTGCGTGATGGCGGTGGTGGTGGTGGCGGTGGTGTGTGTGTGTGTGTGTGTGTGTGTGTGTGTGTGTGTGTGTGTGTGTGTGTGTGTGTGTGTGTGTGTGTGTGTGTGTGTGTGGTGTGTGTGTGTGTGCGTGTGTGTGTGTGTGTGCGTGCGTGCGTGCGTGCGTGCGTGCGTGCGTGCGTGCGTGCGTGCGTGCGTGCGTGCGTGCGTGCGTGCGTGTCTGTGTGCGCGCGCGTGTGATGTGGTGTGACGCGGTGTAGCGTGGTGGTGGTGGGTGGGGTAGTGGGGTGGTGGTGGCGGTGCGCGTGCGTGCGTGCGTGCGTGCGTTGGTGGGTGGAAGTGGCGGTGGGCGGGGCGGGGCGCGGTGCGGTGGTGGCGGGCGGATGGGCGCGCGAGAAAGAGGCCCGCGCTGGGGCGAGAACGCCATCCTGAACGACGGAGGCAAAACACCGATCCGAAAATGAGACCCACGCTGCAGCGGGAGCACGATTCGGAACGAGCGGGGCCCGAAAATAAGGCCGGCGCCTCAGCGAGAGCAGCATTTTGGAAACAAATGCAGGCGAAAACCCAACTCCGGGGAAACCTGTGTGTAAAAAACAGTACGCGGGGGGGGTCGGCTACTCCCATTCCGTTATCAGGGGAAGAGGGGGAGTAGTATTCATATTGAGTAAGTGTGGAGGAGGGAGGGGAGGGGATGAGGGAGGGGAGGGGAGGGGGGGGGTAGATGGGAGGGATGGGAGGGGAGGGACGAGTGGGTCTGGAGAGGCCCCTGGCCTCGTCCTCTCCTCCTCGTCCCCCCCCCTTTTGATCATGCTTCTCCCTTGGGGTGGGCAGCAGGCCCCCTCCCGCCGCCCACCCAGAGCCCGGCGCGTCGTGGTCATTTCGCACCGTGTGGCCCTCAGGAGGGCTCAAACCCAGACCCCTCTCGAGCCGCGACAAAAAATCACGACGGTTTTTTTGTGTCCGCTATTTTCGGCCTCTGGAGGCCCTTGCCGGGCCTCGGGATTGTCGAGCGCGATTTCGGGATGAGAAACCGGTCCCATGGACGGGTTCGGACCTCTAAGGGTCGCGTCGTGACATGAGCCTGTCGAAGAGAACAGCCACCTGCAGTTGTGGGCACCGTCGTTTTATGCACCGCATTCGGTGGAGCTCCCCCTGGAGCTATCAACCGTGTGACGGGGTGTGCCAAAATGGGTGCTGTGGGCCTCCGGTGGCGCATGCGAACGCTGGCATTTTGGCCTTCGGTGGGGCTCGCTATAGGGCCACGAAACGTGTGAAGGGTGTGCCAAAATAGGTGCGGTGGGCGCATGCGAACGCTGGCATTTGGGCCTTCGGTGGGGCTCCCTGTGAGGCCTCGAAACGTGTGAGGGGCGTGCCAAACTTGGTGGGGTAGGCGCGTGCGGTGGGCGCATGCGAACGCTGGCATGTGGGCCTTCGGTGGGGCTCCCTGTGAGGCCACGAAACGTGTGAGGGGTGTGCCAAACTGGGTGTGGTGGGCGCATGCGAACGTTGGCATTTTGGCTTTTGCTGTGGGGTCAGGAAACGTGTGAGGGGTGTGCCAACATGGGTGCGGTGGGCGCATGCAATCGCTAGCATGTGGGCCTTCGGTGGGGCTTGCAATATAGCCACGAAACGTGTGAGGGGTGTGCCAAAATGGGTGCGGTGGGCGCATGCGAACGCTGGCATCTGGGCCTTCGGTGGGGCCCCCTGTGAGGCCACGAAACGTGTGAGGGGTGTGCCAAAATGGGTTTTGTGGGCGCATGCGAACGCTGGCATTTGGGCCTTCGGTGGGGCTCCCTGTGAGGCCACGAAACGTGTGAGGGGTGTGCCAAAATGGGTTTAGTGGGCGCATGCGAACGCTGGCATTTGGGCCTTTGGTGGGGCTCCCTGTGAGGCCACGAAACGTGTGAGGGGTGAGCCAAACTGGGTGCGGTGGGCGCATGCGAACGCTGGCATTTGGGCCTTCGGTGGGGCTTGCTATGGGGCCGCAAAGCGCGTGAGAGGTGTGCTAAAATGGTTGACTGGTTCGGAGGGCAGAGGCAGGGATCGGAGGAGGAAGGGGAGGGGGGGGAGGAAGGAGGGAAGGAAGGAGGACAACGCGGGGCACTGTCTCTTCAAAACGAGGACCCGACACCACAGGATGGTTGGGAACTATCTTGACGTCGGGGGTCTGGGAAGCGCGGCTCCAGAGGCTCGGACTCTTCCCTGGGCGGGGGGTGCAGTTTCTCGTCCCAGGCCCACGTTCCGGTGGCCCCGGGCTTCGAAACCGGGCCACGGGCCCCAGGTGCTGAAACCGAGGGAAGCCGCCGGTCGGGAGAATCATATCCTCGGAGATCTGGAGCTTGTTTCTAGGCCTCACAGATGGGGTCCGAGTAGATGGGGTCGGAGGATCGCGCCGCGTCGGCGATGTATCGCCGGTGCATCGCCGATGCGGCTCGATGTGGAGCCCGATTGTCTCCGCGCCCACGGTGCCGATGCATTGCTGACGTTGCCGACGCATCGATGATGCATTCGCGATGCAGTGGCAATGCATCGGCGATGCGGCGCGATCCTTCGACCCCATCTACCCCGAGATCCGACGTTGCGAAAAAATGGCGACCAGAGCCCTAGGCCCTAGACCCCATCTTTCGGCGGCATCCTTCGCGCCAGATCGATCTTCGTGAGGGCCCTGGGGCCCAAAACCGGCCAAGATCGCCAGGTGTGAACAAACTGCAGCGCCTGCATCTCAGGGATCGTCGGATCGGCGTCACCCCAACATACTAATATTGTGTGTGTGTGTGTGTGTCGCCCCGCCAGGGGTGACGCCCGCACCGAGAAGTCTTTTAGTATATACTATATACGTCGTGGAGGGCGGTTTCTGGCCACACCGCTCGGGAAGGGATATGGGTCTACTGCATTACTGCATGTTCGGGTCGGACGCGCGCCTCCAGGGAAGACATGCGGCACTCGTATGTCTCTGTGCGTCCCATCGGAGACCCGGAACTCGTGCCCTCGCCCACCCAGACCCCCGACGTCATGATGTTTTCATGGCGCGACCCCCTGAGGTCCGGACCCTCTCCCCGGGCCCTGCTTGTCATCCCGAGCTCCTCTTCGACGGTCCCGAGGCCCGGTGAGGGCCCCCAGCTGGGCCGAGAATAGCGAAAGACCTCCCGTCGCGATTTTTTCTCATATGGCGCGAGGGGGCCTGGGACTCGTGCCCCCCGCCCAGTTGGCTGCTGGCCGGCAGCGCCGCCCCCGCGGCCAGCCCGCCGGGCGCCTCCCTCGGCCCCGACGAGCCCGCCGCCGCCGCCCCGGCGGGCGGGGCCGCGCCGCCCGGGCGCTTCGCCTCCGAGCCCGCGGCGACCGCGTGGCCGAGCTCGGGGACGGCCGGGCCGCCGGGGAGGTTCGGCTCGGAGCCCGCCGCCGCCGCCCCGCCGCCAGGGCGCTTCGGGCCGCCGGAGCGGAGCGCAGGAGCTGGGAGCCCAGAGTTCTTCTGCGAAGACCCTCCCGTCGAAGCACGACGGGAGGGTCTTCGCTAAATTGTCGGTCTCTGGGGGCCCTCCCCGGGCCTCGGGACCGTCAAAAACCGAGTCGGAATGGAAAGCCGGTCCCGGGGAAAGTCTTTGGGGGTCGCGTCATGAAAAAATCATGACGTCGGGGGTCTGGGGAGCTCAGAGCCGTCTGGGGGTCTGAGGTGGCCCAGCACTGGTTGCGGCCAGCAGGGAGGAGGGCGGGCAGGTGCGAGGTTCTGGGGCCGGAAGGATTTCTGCCTTTGTCTGCCTCTGGTAGCCGTTTTGAAGGTCTGGGGCAGTGAAAGAACGATCTGCGGTGAAAAACTCCGCCAGATGGACCTGGGAGAGGTCCAGGGACCGATTCTGGGCGGATTTGGCTTCATCGCCCCATGTTTTTCTGGGATCCCAACACCCGCTCCGTGCTCCCACCCGCTATCTTGGTCTCTGTCGTTGTGCCCTCCCCCTACCCCTTCCCCCCCATCTCTCTCTCTATCCACCTTTCCCCCCTGCCCCCCTCCCCCGAGGAGATAGCCGTGCGGCGGAGCTGATGGCGGAGATCTTGACCAAGTCTCAGAGCAAGACCGAGGTCCTCCGGGCCCACCCACGTTCACAACTCACCTGTGTCCCCCGCATCCCTGGCCCCTCCCCAGGCGTCGAGGATGAGGACTTGGAGGAGAAGGAGGAGGAGGAGGAGGAGGAGGAGGAGGAGGATGAGGAGGAAAAGGAGGAGGAGGAGGAGAGGAGGAGGAGGAGGAGGCGAGGAGGAGGAGGGAGGAGGAGGAGGAGGAGGAGGAGGAGGAGGAGGAGGAGGAGGGGCAGGAGGAGGAGGAGGAGGAGAGGAGGAGGGAGGAGGAGGAGGAGGAGGAGAGGAGGGCAGGAGGAGGGGCAGGAGGAGGGAGGAGGAGGAGAGGGAGGAGGAGGAGGAGGAGGAGGAGCAGGAGGGAGGAGGAGGAGGAGGAGGAGGAGGAGGAGGAGGAGGAGGAGGAGGAGGAGGAGGAGGAGCAGGGAGAGGCGGAGGAGAGGCGGAGGAGGCGGAGGAGGAGGGTGCGCCCGCAGACCCTTCTCAGGACAAGAACGCGTGCACTTCCTACGAGCCCGACCAGCTCCCGGACAAGGTGGGGAGGGAGGAGCGACGGAGGATGAGGAGGGAGGGAGAAAGGGAGGGAAGACAGAGCATGACGAACTGGGGGAGGAAGGATGAATTTGAATGGACATCGGGTACGAGATGGCAGAGTTCGAGAAACGAGGGATGAGCGAGGAAGATGGAGGGAGAAGGTAGAGTTGAGGCGGGAGGAGTGGGTGGAGGGAGGACCGATGAGGATGGCGAGGGGACGGAATGTGGAGGGGGATTGAGGGAAGATGGACGTGGGAGGATGTAGGGAGGGGTGATGAGCAAAGAGTAAGGAAGTGGAGTGATGAGTAAGGAGCGATGAGGAATGAGGAAGATACAGGAGAGAGGAACGATGAGGGAGGAGGGCATAGGGGAAAATAATGAATATGAGGCAGGAGGGAGTAGGAAGGATGGAGGCGGGATGAGGAAGGATGGAGGAGGGCGAACGATCACGAAGAGGAGGATGCAGATGAGGATGAAGAGTTACAGGCACACTAGAAGGTGGAGTAGGGACGACCATGTGTCGTATTAAGAGTTTGGGTCGACGTAAGAGTAGAAGTGCTGATCCAGATAGACAGCCGGAGAGAGTTATTCGGCTCCGCAGCTCCGTCCACTCCCACCCTCCTTCCCATACCACGAGAACCACTGCTGACGCAGTCCAACAATCAACAGTTTGCGAACGGCCTGGCCTTCTTGGTGCATGAATTCCCATGCGGAGCGAATGCGACGTGGGACCTCATTGACCGAGAGGGAGTTGCGTGAACGTCGACGCACCCCAAACTGTCAATCGGTTTGTGTGCGTGAGTTACTACTAGAAGACTGCCCAGCGTTCACAGCGCATTGGAATCCACGTTGGACAGCAGGGATTCCGACAGAACGCGGCGAAGGAGGTTCGTGCGCTCACACGCGAAGCGAACGTGGGGATCTCCGCGCATGTTCTCTTGCACGCTGAAATATTTGTGAGCCTGCAGTGATGACTATTTGCTGTTCGTCCTCGGTTGGTCTTGGCGGGCAAACGAAATTATGTTCCGGGACCAGACAGAGATGCGACTTGCTGCAAAGCATTGCGTGTTTCTACAGCGATTCTCTTATTTCGTTTTCGCGCTCGCGCGCTTCCAATTCAATCGGCGCGCGTGGGCGGGAGCAGCATCTCGCTCTCTCGCGCGCGCCCCCGCATCGGATTGCAGTCGGACCGATGTATAATATCGAGGTCGGTTCGGGGAGGGTATCCTAATGTTCTTCGTGTTTGTTGGATGTAATTGTGCATTCTGGGGCGGGTACCCTTGGACGTTCTCTGTGTTTTGGCCGGCTGAGAGTCTCATATTCTTGGAGGATGTTCTTCTGTCCTAGGTCCGACTGTATTTTGCGGGCCCGAGAAGAAGAGCCGCGCCTCCTCCGCCTCGTCGTCTTCTTTGAGATTCCTGCTCTGCCTGATCGTGCAGCCGCCCGATCCGCGCGATGCTCGAGGGCGTGTAGGCTCACCTTTTGCTGCACGGAGCGTTTACTCGCGCATTTAGTTTGAATTCCACTCTGCCCCTCCTCTTCCTCCACCTCCTCCCCCTCCTCCTTCTCTTCCTCCTTCTCTTCGTCCTCCTCCTCCTCCTTCTCCCCCTCCTCGACCCTCGCCTTCTTCTCCTCCTCCTCCTCCTCCTCCTACTCCTACTCCTACTCCTCCTCCTCCTTCTCCTCCTCCTCCTCCTCCTCCTCCTACTCCTACTCCTCTTCCTCCCCCTCCTTCCTCGCCGCCTCCTCGTCCCTCTCCCTGCCCGGATCTGGAGCGAATGGTGCTGTTTCGCCAGGCTCGCAGCCTGGCCAGGCTCCGTTTCTGTACATTACATCCACACCAGTGGCAGACAGATCCACCGGGGATGCGCACACAGCGCGCTTGTCCTGTCTTCCATATGAACCTCCCTCTACGGCACCCGTCTCTTTCTTCTCCTTTCCGCAGACACTGCATGAGGGATGGCCAGGCAACCGCCGCGTCCGAGGAGCCACAAAGAGACCCAAACCGCCAGAGGATTAGAATTGCTGCATGGGATCGCCCCGACGGCATTGCCGCGAGTACTACAAGATGTTGGCGTGGGGTGCCCAGCCGGAGGAGAGAAAAAACAACTCTGCACATGTGAGGGGCCGAACTTCGACCACGCTCGCGGGACAGAAGTGCTGCCTGGCCGAAGCGACTTTCACTCTCGTCGCCCTCGACGAAACAGCGCCGCGCGGGAGCGCCAGGCCAGAGCGGCGCGTCGCTCTTTCTCGCACGCGATGTGCGCCGAGTCCCGTTTTTGCCACGCAGTTGCAGCGGCGCACGCAACAAAACCAGCATTGGAAGGAGGCGCCCCGACACCGTGCTGCCCACAGATGGGTATAGGGTGAACGGGCCCGCTCTGGCTCCCACGAGGGCTGCCGGGATCTCACCGGTCGGATCCGAGTAAGGACGGACGTCAAAGGTGGCCAACTCGAGAGTCGTGCTCTCTTCGGCCACGCTCCTCTCCTTCGCTTCCCCTCTCCCCCTCTCCTGTATGTGTAAGCATTCCTCCTGTCCTTCCGTCGCAGTGCCCTTCCTCCCTCTCCACCCTCGTTCCTCCTTTCGCTCCCCCCTTCTTGGTCGTGTTCTTTCTCGCTTCCCCTTTCCTTCCCTCTCCTTTTCTACTTACTCGTGTTCTTCTTATTCGTAGTATTGTTCTTATTGTTAGTGTTACGGTATATCGCATTTCTTCTTGCCTTATCGTATCCTCACCTCTCTTCTCTCCTCTTGCCTTCTCTCATCATACTTGCTCTTCCCATCCCTCCCCTTCGCTTCTCTTCTCTTATACGATCTTCTCTATTATTATGTTCCCTTACCTTCTCTTCGCTTCCCTCATATTCCCTCCCCTCCTCTTCTCTCATCATTATCATGTTTCTCTTATCTTAGCTTCTCTTCTCTTGTTTTCTCGCTTTCCTCCTCGCTTTCCTCCTCGCCTTTCCTCCTCGTGATCCTTTTCTTCTTCCTCCTCCTTCTCCTCCTTTTCTTTGCGAGGGAAGACTTGGGTATCCGATGCTGACAAGTCGATCCATCACGCATGTCGCCGTCGGCCAGGCAGCAGTTGTTCGACGGCCTTAACGACGCACCGATGGAAGACCCGCTCCCGTCCATCAATCTCACGAAGCATCAGTTTGGCGACCTTCCACAGGTCGGCGGAGGGGACGACGCTCCAGCTGAACTTGTTATGATGTTCATCCCGCTGTTCCCGACGATCCTTGTTTTCCATCACCTACCGACGCGGACATTTTGGGCGAGTGCAGGACGAGGGCGTTGATGGCACCGAGGTCGCTCGCGTCATCGGTGCACCTTGACCAATGACCGTCAAGCAGCCACGAACTCCACCCGCTTCTGCTGGCGCCTCACTCGCCCGCCTGGACGGTCGGCGATGTCGTCGTGGATGGTCTTCTGCCAGCTGCTGGGGACATCACTCCCGAGGTTTGCCAGCTCTTCGGGGCATTCGGTGGACCCATCTTTCCTGACACGGACCACTTGTTCCTGTTCTCGCTTTTTCTCCGCTATCGAGTGCCAGTTCCTCAATCGTGACGCCTTCTGTTTGAGATATGTCGATCGATCTTGGCGCCAGCGGTGTTGTTCTCAGAGGTGCTGATCCCGGTGTCCGCCAGCAGAGCATTGATGAGGGCACGTCTCTCTTGCAATGGAGCATCCAGCTTGATGGAGGCGACCTCCATTGCCCGCGTGGACCGTCGGTGGCGCCCCCTGGTCGGCGGATCCTGGTCACACCTCCCCCACTGGGTCAACCGCGCCCAGGTGCTTTACATGATTGGCGAGTTCTGGAACACTTGGAACTGCTGGCTGGGCAGTGGCTCTTCATGATAGAACGTGAGTGCTGGCAGGACATCGGCGACTGGATTGACTGGTGCGTTCCATTCACGGCTGTCCTCTTGGATCGTCTTTACCCCTCGTGCTCGCGCGCCACATTTGCCGACCTCACTTCCTATGAGATCTGTGAGGCGGTGTGGACCATGACCGCGCAGTTACAAAGTGGGCATGCGCTGTCAGGAGACATCTGGAGCAGAGCTGCCTTTCGTCATATGAGCGTTCTGGCGGCGCCTCGCTACATTATCATCAACAAAATGATGATGCTCAATCCGATAATGAGGCCGCTACCTACCATTCGTCCTGTGGGACATGGGGGTGGTACAAAGATGGCCTCAGGCCGCTGTTGCTGATCCTGGAGAGGAGCGTTTATCACAGGGTCCGCCTGTGGATGAAGATGGCCAAGGACAGTCCGATGGCAGCAGTCTGCTCGCGATTGCCAGCCTGCAAAGATAGCTGATGGCCAATGCAACACCTGATGCAGCGCGTGATTGCCTTCATCAGTGCATGAAGTTCCCTTAAATCGAATTCATCACGGTGGTGGCAAGCTCAGGGTGCTGGGGGCTGTTCCCGTCGACGACAGCTTCTTGAAATCGCTCGCATGGTCTATGCCGAGTGTCCCCGGCCACCCTTGCGACGACTTCAGCGGGTTATTCTCAAGTCCCCCGAGCAATCGCTTCCCAGCTTCCTCGACCAGGACGAGTACCTGGAAGACAAACGACAAGACGACCAGGACAAGACGACCAGGATTGGACAGAATCGTGTGATGTCTTGACGAAAACACGACTGAGACAGACATCCTTTGTCTACCTCTTCGGTCACAGTCCAGACGAGGACTATTATGAGTTGCTTCAGATGATTTCTTTGGAAAGGTGTGTGTGTGTGTGCTGATATTTGGAATTCGGGGGCGGATTTGCGTTCGGTCTTGCTGGTGGGGCTGACGTCCTCAGACGCGCTCGGACTGGAACGTAAGCGTGCCACTCTGCATGCGCAGTACGAGAGCCTCAGGGGCTGGCGTCCCCGCGTCTTCCCCAACCCGCGGCTGCGGCAGTACCTCGCGATGGTCGAATGTGTGGCTGGGCTCTTGAGGAGGGCAAGAGATTCGGACTCCGCGCCCCCGCCCCGTCCGCCAGCCAACGTGGCCA